AGAGAGAGAGAGAGAGAGAGAGAGAGAGAGAGAGAGAGAGAGAGAGAGAGAGAGAGAGAGAGAGAGAGAGAGAGAGAGAGATGGATAGTGGATTGAGAAACGAGGCGGGGGAGGGGGAGATGGAGGGAGGAGGGAATGAGAAGGGGCAGGAGAGTGCCGAGCGAATTAGCCGACCAGAAGGGGAAAAAGGCGGGAGCTTTGATGACAGCAGCAAATCGAAGAAATGTAAGGATGATGGAAAGCAGAAGGAGAATGACAGCAAGGACGGCGGCCATGGGGGGCAGACAAGGACAGTCCCGATGTGGAAGCTGTTTTCACTTGCGGACAACTTCGACTATCTGTTAATGTTCTTGGGAACAGTCGGTGCAGCTCTCAATGGTGCTGCGCTGCCGTGTATCATGCTGTTGTTTGGCGATTTGATGGATGCATTTGGATCACACGCTGCCGACGCTCGACGCCTCAATCACGAGGTTAATAAGGTAAAAGAACTGTCCAGGCCTCCTCAATCAGGGTATATCTTTTTTTTTTTTTTTTTTTTTCCTTTCTTTTTAATTTGGACCATTTCTCGATTTATGCGTGTCATCCGTGCGCATGGGCCATGCTAATCAATCTTCTCTGTATCGTTCCAATTTTAACGGGTGTCCCGAAGGACTCAATCACGGTGTATTTAGAAAGGGGAAAAAAAAAAAGAAAAAAAAAAGAACAAAAAAAAGAAAAAAAAAAGAAAAAAAAGGAAAAAAAAAGAAAAAGAAAAAGAAAAAGAAAAAGAAAAAGAAAAGGACTTCTACCATTTGATTGATGGGATGCATTTGGATCAGACGATGCTGTTGCCGACGATTCACGCCTCAATCACGATGTTTCTTTCTAAGGCAAAAGGTAAAAGAACCCTCCAGCACTCAATGAGGGGGGAAGGGGGGCTCGAGGATTTGTAATTTGCAAAATAGCCCCATAAATTTAGATATATGCGAGGCTACGAGAGTGGCCCGGGACCACTTGCCTGGCCGGGGCAAAAAAATAAATAAATTAATTAATTAAAGGAATATTTTTTAACCTCTTTTGGTAAGGAATTTCGATCTGACTCTGAGGCAAAAGTTGTTCAGTTTATTTTTCTGCATAACGCTGGGCTACCAGAGTGGCCCGGGGTCACTTGCCCGGCCGGGCCAAAAAAATAAAAATAAAAATATAGTTTTAGAATTTATTTTTTATTCTAAATATGGTGAAGAATTTCGATGTGACCCTGAGAAAAAGGTTGGTCAGTTTATTTTTCTGCATAACATAGTTTTTTTCCCGGATTTTTTTTCTTCTTTTTTTTTTTTTTTTTTGCTGGGACCTTCCCTGGTCCTTGCACGGGCTGGCCACCCGGGACCCGGGCGGCCCGGCTGGTAGCCTAGTATATATGCCGAAATGCCCGTGAAAGGGTGGGTAGAGCGGAATGCCCTTTTGGACCGAATCTTTGTGTTATGCCCCTGTCAGGCCTGTCTGCAAATTTCCAATCTGGACCTTGCCGTTTGGGCCTGGGCACTTTGCAATGGGGCCTAGGAAAATGTTGGTGAGTGCAGGGGCATTTTGCAAAGTTGGACAGTACCCGGCAGAGGTATATTGACCGATGCCAGGGATATTCCAGAGAAGTTTTTTTTCTTCTAGAGGGGCGTTACCCTAGGTTCACATCTTTTAGCCTAAGGGGCATTTTGGCATACATCTCAATTATGGGGGTATTGTTCATATCACTCCTTTTTTCTTTCTGACACAACAGAATAGCGCATGGACCATCCGCGTAGCTCAGTTGCTAAGGCATGCAAGTGGCATTCAGGGCCGAGGTCTGATTAGCAAAGAGGATCTGATCGAATGCCTGAATGTGGACGTGTTTTATGCCGAGATGCAGAAAAGCAGTTCAATCTCGATTTCCTTCACCTCTCCACACACACGTCCAGATTCAGGTATTCGATCCAATCCTCTTTGCTAGTGGGACCACGCCCCAGGAGCTCTTGCGGTCAATCCCCACTGGCCCTAAGCCAAGGGGCAGCATGCGTCCCCTTTCACTGTGAGAGGCAAAAGCTATGCTTGCAGGGTCCCCCGTATAGCCTTAGGAGTAGTGGCAAGTCGGTAGCGGAAGGTGAATCTGAAAGAAGTCGAGAGAAGAAAATAAAAAACCCTTATGTGATAGACCTCCGATCTATTTCTGTGAGTCGGACCCGGCGTCCCTTATAAACTGATATAACCTTTTGAGGTCGGGGTCCTCAGAGTCTACCGGGAGTAGCCAAGCCACATACAGACCGAGAGCCTTACCCGGGGCCAAGTCCCACTTACCGAAATCTCAATTTCCGATCATAGAATAGGAAGATCGACGGCCAAGAATGAAAGATCAGCGTAAGTGGTAGAATAGGAAGATCGACGGCCAAGAATGAAAGATCAGCGTAAGTGGGACTTGGCCCCCGGTTTCCCTTTAGACAGGTAACCAGCTGAAAATCGGGTCCAGCATCCCCTAGATACCATAACTAATAACTTAGCAAACGAGTTCCAGCTCTCAACCCGTGCACCTCTCAGCCAAAGGCTGTCTAATCTGAGTGACCACCTAGTGCAGCAGGAGACCCTCCCTTTTTTTTATTTTATTTTTATTTTTGTAAAGAAGGGATGACGGTCTTGAGATATTATCATTGAGCTGACCGGCCCCAAGCAATTCATTAGTAGTAGGTTTTACTCGTCAAGTTCCATCATCTGGATTCGAACTGGGGTCTGTATTTCAACAGTTCATGGGTGTCCCCACCGGGCTAGGCTCTTGGGTACCCCTCCCTTTTATTGTTTTGGCCCTAGGTAATTCAGAATCGCAGTATTAGGGCCAGATCGCACGGGCAAAGAGGATTGGAATAAGTGTCTGAATCAGGACGTGTTCCAGAAAGAGATGCAGAAAAGCAGATCAATTACAGTTTTTGCAGCTCACCACAAACAAGATTCAGACGCTTATTCCAATCGTTTTTGCCAGTGGGATCTCGCCCTTACTACTCATCTGCTTCCGGTGGTGTTCGACCTCAGGTCTGTATTTTTCAACAGTTCAGGGGCAAGGTCGTCCCACTAGCAAACAGGACGCTTTTGCGGAAAGAAGTGCAGAATCTCACAATAGATCTGCTGTTCTGCATCTCTGTGTAAAACACGTCCAGATTCAGGCGGTTAATCCAATCGTCTTTGCAAGTGGGACCTCGCCCCAGCTGAGTCGGTTCGCCATTGCTTGTTTGGTTTTTTTCCTTTGTACCCCACCTGCGAACCCCGGGGGCCAAGTTCCACTAGGTTGAGTTTCCTCAACGCACGAATGTGGACGGCTTTGTGGAGATGTGCAGAGTCGCGTTGAGTTTCCTCAACCGCACCTCTCCTCAAGCAGGTCCAGATTCGGGCGCTGTTGAGGAAACTCAACGCTGCTAGTGGGACTTGGCCCCGGACCAAGGCCCTTCACCGAACCTGGCCTTCTTCCAGTTCAAGTTGAAAGGGCCTAGGAAAATTCGGCAGACCCCTTTGCAAGGGCCCACACGAAAGCAACGGGACCGGTAACCTGTCTTCTCTTCCCGTTTGAGAAGACCGCACGTTCAGCAGCTTGACATGGTTGAAGGCAGCCAGCAACTTTGCGCGCGCACACGCGGGTGTGTGTGTGTGTGTGTGTGTGTGTGTGTGTGTGCGTGGTCATATTCGTTATATACTCAAAAAAAAAGCGTGACTGTACCAGACTGTTTCGTCAGACTTTCACCGACTCATCAGGAGGTTGAACCTGGACATATAGTCTGCCGAGGATGCATTCGACTGAACTGATGGATAAGGACTCACCGTGTGTGTGTGTGTGTGTGTGTGTGTGTGTGTGTGTGTGTGTGTCGCGTTTGGTATACACCGCTGCAGAGAAAAAGCTGTCAGTCTGTGTGTGCGTGTGTGTGGACGTTCGGGCAGCACCTCCTTAAGATAATGAGAGCGCACTTGAATACTTTATGGTTTTTGGTTCCTTTCCTTTTCTTTTCTCTTTCCATTCCTCCTTTGTTTTGTTTTCTCTGTTTTGTACAGTCAAGATGCCCTGGATGTAGTCGTACTTGCACCGATTCTCCATTTCAGCTCATTGATCTTCACAACATCTGGGAAGAAAAGAACAATCCATCCGGAGTGAGGTCCCACTTAACCGGATATTTTTCCTGTCCTTCATCTCTGGCTGTCGCTACGAGGACCGATGATAAAAAAAAAAACCCAAGATTTCTGGGATAGGTCGCACCCATGTAGCAGCATCCTTTTTTTGAGGCTTCATAATTTATAATACATCGCTGGAAACGAACGACCACGTGCCTACCGGTAATTCCACCACCCGGCTGATTGTATAGCGGGAGACAGAGTGTGTGACCTGGCAGTGGTAAATTTGGAAAACGGAGGTAACGAAACAAAAAAAAAACATAAAACAAAAAAAAAACTAACAACATTCTTCTAGTTTCACTGCAGCAGTAACTGTGGGCAGATTCAAACAAGAAAGTCCCAGTGTAAGTATATGCTATAACCCAATTATCCTTAGATGACGACTTTTCCCACCGAACACAAATGGGGGCTCGATCCAGTGTAAGTTTATGCTATTAACTCAATTATTATACTTAAATGACGATGACGACAACTTCACCACTGAGCGCAAGTGGGGCCTCAATCTGAAACGGGTCGCCAAGTCCTGCAAATTGACGACACCTTTCCCACGGGCCCACCGGTAGTTCCACCACCCGACTGATGTAAGGCCTGCAAAAGGGTTTACTCATCACGAAAACGGCTAGAGTCCCAGTTCTTGGCTCTGTTCGGGGGCTGCCCTCTGGGCACGGAGGCGTCCCTGGGGTGTGTATATCTATTTAGTATTTAGTATTTATTGGTGGAGGGTGATTAGTACCCAATTCGAGTTGCGTCAACAATTCCCGTTGGTTTGGAATCGACTGATGGATAAGGACGCCCCCGTGCCCAGAGGCCTGGAATTGACTGATGGTACACACATTCCAGGCCAAATCGACTGCACATTCTGTTTGGGGGCTGCCCTCTGGGCAAGGGGGCGTCCTTATCCATCAGTCAATTTGGCCTGGAATGTGTGTACCATCAGTCAATTCCAGGCCTTTGTCACGGGGGCGTCCTTATCCATCAGTCGATTCCAGGCCATTGCGTACTAATTACCCCCCACCAATAAATACTAAATACTAAATAGATATACACAGGACTGGAGGGCTGACTCATATGGTCGTCTTTGGATAAAGTGTGCGGTTTTGATGGTGCCCAAAGCCATCTCCATCCCACCTCAACTAGCCCAGGAGGTGGTGGGATGCAATGTGGACTTCTGGGTGCCGACCGTGACTGCCCCTGGCCCTGCGACTGGAGATTCCTTCTCTTAGGCCCTGGTCTTGGAGTCACAGTTCCACTGCATGGACTTCTTCGCGTAAATGATAACGGTGTTTCAATGAAACGTTTCCACCGTGGCTCGGGGTGCCAGAGGCCAGAGTAGTGCTCCTCAGGCGCCGTGTCAATAGGCCCTGAGAATTGATGGAGAAGATTGAGTTCGACTGTCAGCAGGTTGTCGAAGGAGTGACAGAAACTGTGAGCTGCAAGGCCACGGAAAGCCGGGAGGGAGAGGCTGGTAGCTGATCCCGTCCCCGTGAACAGGCTAACACTTGTGAACCCCTCCCCAATAACAGACTGACACTTGTGCACAACTGCTGCTCAGACTCACTGCCTTTGTGTCAGGTTTGGGTGCAGGTGATGGATCTGTTGAGTGTGATCCTCTGCTGTGATTGGTGGATGGAGCCCTCTGATTGATTACCAGCCTAAATTTGGAGATAGCAATGCTAAAGTGTTCCGTGGGTAACCCTGGCTGGTAAGTTCTGACACTGGAGTTTTGCTTGTGACTAAGGGTCGGACCCCACTGCGATGTGGATGGAAAAGACGTGTGGCCACGAAAAGCGGGCAAGTCATTTTGGAAAGTCGGAAAGTACTTTTTTCCGGGACCCCATCGCAGAGGACCAAATGCGCTTGGAAAACCCTCTGGAAATCAGTTGAGCCAATGGTTGCCTGTTTCCGTTGGCACGCGTTTGTCTTGTTCTTTTTTCCGTTTTTTTTTTTTTTTTTTTTTTTTTTTTTTTTTNTTTTGTGTGTGTGTGTGTGTGTGTGGCACTCTTCATCGCTATTGGCTGCTGCCTCCCGCCCACCGGACCTGGGTTTGGAAAAGTTCAAAACGGCTCTGGGGGCCAACCTCAGCTTTTGGCACAAATTTGCGGCGTCATTTCCTCCTCTCGCTGTTTTCCAGACCACGGACCATGTCAAAACATCCACAGGCGATCTTCCAGGCCACAAAATGCGGGCTGTGGGGTCCCGGAATACGGTTTTTGAAAGACATTTCGGCCTTTCCATAAACTTTTCCGCGAGGTGTGGGGTCCTGCAAACACTTCCGCAGCAAAATTTTTCCTTTCCGCATTCCTATGGGGTCCAGGCCTAAGTGAGCCAGGTGACCAAGGCTCTAGGGAGGGAACCTATTTTATTTAATTTTATTGTTTACAGTGGGACCTAGGGTGGTGGCTTAGGGTGGGGGACTTCGGACATGTCGTCGTATATTAGTAGTTACAAGCGCATACCCACCACATTCGTGGGGGAGGCCACATAAAAGGAAAAAAAAAAAACACATTTCCAACAGCTGGCACCATTCCTCCCTTGCCACGGCCAGGCGGTACTATGTGGCTGAGCGGGTATGCGAGTCGGGTCCCAAGTGTGTGGGTTAGGTCATACTAGGTGAAGCAGGTGGCACCATTTGGGACACGGGTTGGGCGGTGCCATGGTGGGTCATACTACATGAACCGTGTGTGGTGTGGGTCATACTATGTGGAGTGGGTGGTATGGTAATGGAATACTGCTGAAGAAATTTTCAAAGCTGCATTTGGTACTCTACGCATATTTTGTGGAAATGGTAGAAACAGATCCAAGTGGGCCATGTAAGAAGGTAATTGGGGTTGGTAGAGACATTCACCCGAGATGGAGGTAATTGAGGTTGGAAGACCTTGAGCAAATAGATAAAATGTCATTGATTGATTTGCAGGCAATGTATGTACCTGAATTTATGTTTGATAGGCTGCTTTATTATAAAAAAAAAATCCATCTGACTGTGCATGGATATAGACTTGTTTAAGGGCCTGGCCCCAATTGTAGGATGCCAACATCTCATCGTGCAGGACCACTAGGTGGTGATTTTGTTTAGCCGGCACGGGAATTTCCTCCGTGTGTGCTGCATGCATTCAACTGTATACATGATGCTAGGGCATTGCTAGCTTGTACTCTCCCATCTGCTTGTGCTCCTCTCCTCCACGTCGTCTGCTTTCCTCCTCCTCCTCCTCCTCCACCTCCTCCTCCTTCTCCTCCTCCTCCTACTCCTTTCCTCCTCCTATTCAATCACGTTTATGACATCACCGTCCTTCAGCGCTCCTGTACTCTGCGTCTTTGTCTGCAGTGGTCCTCTTCTTCAACCATGGCCATTGTTCAGCTGTATGGATGATTCTGTGCTCCTCCATTCACCTTGTTGACGTCATCGTCCTCCATTCACCTTGTTGACGTCATCGTCCTCCATTCACCTTTTTGACGTCATCGTCCTCCATTCACTTTTTTGACGTAATCGTCCTCCGTTCACCTTTACAACAGGGTTTCCCCTCCTTCCTTGCTGTTCCTGCTCCCCTTGCTTTTCCTCCTCCTCCTCCTCCTCTGTTCTCCTCCTTTATTACTCTTAGTGATGGAAAATCTGCCCGACCGCTAATCACTGCTGCCTCTCTCATGTAGTTATCAATAACAGTGTTTTGGCGTATTGCTTGTGAACAGCTGACTGTCAAATTCACGTACATCGCAGCTGGAGCAGCAGTTGCGGGATTTTTAGGTTGGTGCACTGTTCCGACTTCCAACTCCACAGCCCTTTCCCATCCATATTCCCTGACTTGTTGTTATCTCTTTGACATGGTTTGCCTTGGCGTCTCTTTCTGTCTTTTTTTTCTTTTCTACGCTTCCACATTTTGGGCAAGCTCTTGGCACATTACCAGCCAAATGGTAGGCATTAGGTGATAGATCAAGTTCTTCATTTGGCTGGTAGGCATTAGGTGATAAATCATAAAATCAAGTTCTTCATTTTAGTTTGTTTAGTTACTTTTTTATTCAGTGGAAAATCTCTCTGACCAAACAACCAAACAATAGAAGGGTCTTGGTACAATACCGCCTTTCTCGATCTTTTGACGAAGATCGAGTGTAGTATCTCTTCTGATCAGTTTAATATCCGATCCGTGATCCATCGAAGAAGGGGAAAAAAAGGGCCTTGCCACAAAAGGTTTGAAGATTGAACCTGGTAGCCAAGCGAAGCGTCACAACGTTTTCCTGTCTAGCTGTCCAGCCTGCGGAGGTCATCACACTCGCCACTCAAAATGGCCAAAAAGGCCCAAAAACCGAAACCATGCACGAGCGTGTATACAACTTTGCTTTTGCTGATGTCGAAAGCAAATGGGAGGGGACATCTCGTGCAAGCTGGCTGATTTTTTGCTTTGACAATTGCTAAGCCTTTGCTACCGTCTTCACCCGAATAGAACACCCGGTCATTATCGCTGCACCTGGACTGAAAAGTGCCCCAAATACAACTATAATGACAGGGCCTTGTATTCGGGTGAAGACGTTCAAGACGGTAGTCATGCGTGCATGATGTGCCAGTCACCATGTCAATTATTGTAGGTGATCTTTAGCGCGTTTGATGTGTTTATGTACACAGTCTGTTTGCAACATTGTAACAGTTATCGGAATGTTTTCATCAAGTTTTTGGGCTTTCTTCACCCTACCAGTCTGCTACTGATGTAGAATGACTTGTGAGAGTGGCATGTACATTCATTTATTTAACATTATAATAACCTTTAGCGAATTTAAACTGATGTAGAATGACTTGTGAGAGTGGCATGTACGTTCATTTATTTAATAACCATTAGCAAATTTAGTGTGCACACTGTACAGTGATTAGCATTACACGAATCCGGATAAGAGCTGTTCTAGCCCATCTGGGCCTAGCTGCGTTGGTAGCCCCCCCATGAACTGTAAAAATACGGACCAGAGTTCAAATTCCAATGGAACCAGCCCCTGCCGTTCCTCGGTGGGGATTATTGCCTACGTCTTACAGATTGCGGTTGTGGCCCCCGGCATACTTGAGTATTCCTGGTGTGCTAAGTCTTATACGTAAGGTAGTGTGAGGCATACTTAAGATAAGAATATAGCTTATATATATATGTATATATATCCTTACTTGTTTTACAGAAAAAAGGAGAAGAAATCAAATCCCAATTGAAGCAGGATGTGTAAAAGTTTTAAAAATTAAAATACCTCTGAATTTACCTGAGGTCGATCAGTTCAGAACTTCACACAAAGATGCTATCTCAAGGTTGTCGTCATTTAAAAAAAAAAAAATGAATCAGAGGAAAGGGTTTGAGTGCAGAATGGAAGCAACTGTACATCTGTTAAAATTGGAACGATACAGAGAAGATTGCATGGCCCCTGCGCAAGGATGACACGCATAAATCGAGAAATGGTCCAAAAAAATAAAAAAAAATAAAAAATAAAAGCAGAGGTCGGGGGCGAAGGATGGTACGTCAGCTACAAATGTCACCCAAGTGTGACGAGGGAAAGTGGGTGAAGCACAGGAACGAGGGCGAAGGGTGAAGCAGGGGGGAAAGATGGGAAGTGCAAAGCAGAAAGGAAGGTGAAGGTGTTTTATCAGCCACAGGTGCCAGCAAAGCAAGGAGACAATGAGTTCGCTGCAGCTTTTTTGTTTTGCGTTTTCTTCCGAAAAACTCTGATTGTTTCACCAAATCGGGTCAAATAGAAAAAGAAACGAAGAAGAAGAAGAATCAATGGCTGTGTGCCCATCTCAGTGGGCGTCAGTGCTAAAAACCCGGTAGGACCGGGGGGTCCTCCCCCAACCGGAACCGGACCGGTCCTACCGGCCGGTCGACCGGGCCGGTTCCCCCCGGTTTGCTGTAGCGCTTTTTTTTTTTTTTTTTTTTTTTTTTTTTTTGGCCCATTGTGTTGTTGAGGCCAAGGACTAGACCCACAGTGATTGCTGGCAGTGGCAGGCGGTGGTTGTCCTGACAGGATAGGCCACCTTCCCTACCCTTCCCCACGTTAATGCTCCCAGTGCACCCCCTATCCCTACTATCCTACCTCAGTGTCAGGACCATCGCCCTACCAGTATCGAGGGCAGTCACCAGACAGCAGTGACAAGCACCCCCTAACACTATAACCCCC